TACAGCAACAGCAACAGCAACAGCAACAGCAACAGCAACAGCAACAGCAACAGCAACAGCAACAGCAACAGCAACAGCAACAGCAACAGCAACAGCAACAGCAAGAGCAATAGCAATAGCGATGGCAACTGCAATGCGACTGCCGAGACCTAGCAACCTCTGCACTAGAACAACTCGAATCCGCCTGGAAACATTAGAGCAAACTGTAAAGGAGCTCAACTTGCCGCCAAGTCTCGCCAGCTTGGTGAGATTCTGACGGAGATTCTCGAGAAGTCTGATATTGCTGGTCACATGGTATTTCTATCTGTTCCCTCCTGTGAGGTGATGCTAATGTGATGTGTAAGATGAGATCCTGCCTGCTCAGGTTGAGACGCGCATGGAACACTGGGCTGCCGAGGGTAGGGTTCGCAACGCTGTGGCAAATGCTCACGATAGAAAGCGCAGCAATAAACAGACAGAACTGTCGTCGAAGGACTTGAAATCCACCTGAACAAGCTGTGGAGCCCAAGGAGTAAACGAATCCAGCATGAGTTTAGCGCTATTGTCGAGCAACGGGAGTAAGACGGAGGAATATTCGCTAGAAGTAAGCTGGCAGATCCCCCCTCTCATTGGTCGCGAACCCCTGAAGGAGAATGAAGAAAGCAATCCTTCATTTCACCGGTGTGGAGGCTGGCCTTAAATACGTGACAGGCATGTCCGCTCCTCTCCAACTGGAAAAGCCTTTGTGCCAAGCAAAACATCGCAACCCGGTCCAAAATGCCGGACCTCACTGTCGGGCAGGTTTCGGGGTTGATTGCGGCAGGCGTATTCGCACGTATGATTCACTTCTAACGCTATTCGTGCACCATGTGACTGACCGGTCAGTACAATTGTTGTTGCCGCTCATCTTCCCAGCGATATTGGTTGGATTCATCACTGAGCAAAACTCGGTTGTCACTTGGTAAGCTCAACACCTCCACCCTAATAACACGGCTTTTTTGGCTGAGAAATATCAGGTCGGTACTCGGCCGTTTCCTCCACTCGTCTCTGTGGCCAAGCATCCTGGGGACCGATGCAACGGCGCGACATGGAGTGCAGGCGCGTGTCAACTTTGTCATGCTCCTCCAGATGGTGACCGTTTTCTTGGTCTCTGTAGCCGCCATCTTCACTCCTCTTGGTCTGTACCAGACTATTGAGCCGGCCGGGAATCAGGATGTCGAGGCCTTCCAGTACGTCAAAGACAGTTCGCCTTTCGGCTATGGGACTCCAATGAGGACCACGGCACCCTTTACGAGGAACTGCGGCGATGAGGCCTGTCCCGGATCGACCATGAATCAGACATGTGTCCAACAAGGACTCCTCCTCAACTGTACAGATACAGTGTATGACCGGTCCATACCTGAAGCCCTGAAATCCCTGTTCAGAGATGGAGCCGCCCGGTTTGGCAGGCCGGTATCGAGCATATTTGACATTCAGTGGAGAGCCAATATCAACGCAACGGACCCTGCGGGCGTCCTCGGATGGTATCTCAAGTCAGCGTACCGTCAGGTATCCATGTTGATACTGGACCCGAGGATACAAGTTGTCGACGGGCTCATCGTTGATGCCGAGAATGGGGGCATCGGCTTCCGCAATCACACTGCTCCCGTCCCCCCTCACGAGTACGGCAGCACGTGGACCGAGGATATTCTCTTTGTTGAGCCAGAGACGCAATGCGTGGACTTAAACATCACTTTCGACTTTGAGCTTACGCAGAATAACACCTCACGGCTCACCGTAAAGGACATGACCCTTACTGACCGTGGCGGATTCTCCAACTTGTCCCGCACCAGCCCCGACCTCACAACACCCCCATTTGGCAACGGACAAGGCGATCTCAATTTGAGAGAGAGAGCCTACAAGGCTGCTTGGCTCAACAACTTCCTGACATTGGCTTACTTCAACGCCACCGATCCGGACCCAACGAATATCACGCGACTCGACGTTACCCCCGGGATGACCTTCAAAAGCGACCCCTCCTTTCAGAACGGCACCTTTGCCATTGAGTACGAATCCATCAGAACCAGCCTATTTTTCGGCGAATATCTCGACCTCACAGAAGCCTCTTCAGGCCGAAACAAATCAGGCGCGACCGGGAACCCATTTGGAATCGGCACGGCACATTTCGCGGCAATTTGTATGCAACCTCCCCCACGCTTTCCGGCCCATAGACCATCTCACCACACAGTCAACTAACCAACCACAGCCGACATCTGCGCCGGCACCACCATCTCCAGCCCACCCAACATCAACAGCAGCCTAGTCGGCTGCGGCCTAATCTACGGCGCCGCCCGCCGCCGCGACGGCGGCTCGCCCCTGAGCCCAGACCGGGGCTCAGCCTGGTCCGTCCCCGTCTTCAGCTGCGCCGCCTCGGTCAGCGCAACCATCCGCACCGTCACCTTCGTGCACAACTCCACGGGGAACCCGCCGGAGGCCACGCGCGCCGACCCCAAAACCTACGCCTCGCCGTCCGACCTCCCGCTGTGGGCCGTCGAGTCCGTCCACGACGGCGGCGCCGTCTCCGACGTGGCGCCGCTGTGGGGCGTCCTCGGGACCGCGGCTTCGGCGGTAGGGAACCTGGCCGCTAATAACGTGTCGACCACGGCGCAGCGGAGCCTGCGCCTGCCAGGCGCGCTGGGCGCGTACTCGCTGCTGCTGACCGGCGGCGAGTTTGCGCCGCAGCGCATGGGGCAGAACTTGCCTGGCGCGGACTTTTACGGGCAGGCACTGATGAACGCGTTTGGGGTCACGCGGCCGGGGTATGGTGGTGGGGGGTACGAGGGCTACGGGGATTACTCGGGCCGGACGGGGTTGGCGCTGTATAGCAAGTGGAGGGAGTTGTCTGACGGCGGGGCGGAAGACGTGTCGGCCATCGTGAACCTTGTCTGGACGGACATCGCGGCTAACTCGGTCGTCGGGACGAAGGGGTGGGGGTTGGGGTCTGATGCGGATGCGGGCGCGCCGCCTGCGGTGCCGGTCACGGCGTATCGCAGGCGGGTGAGGTACCGCATTCCCTACGCGGTGCCGGGGTTCGTCGTGCTGGCCGAGGCGGCTGTCGCGCTCGGCGTTGCGATTGCCCTCCTCGTGGCGGGGAGGACGGGCCCGAGCAAGCTGCGGACCCTACTGGAGTCGACGTCGGCGGGCAGGATCATGGGCCTGTTCCTGTGGCCAGACAAGGGCGCCGAGCAGGGGACGACGACCAGCGAGTGGGTCAAGACTGTTGGGACGCGCGTTGTGCTGGCTTCTGGCAGGTCGATTGTTGTGGCTGGGGGGTCGGATGGCGAGGACGGGGAGGGCGAGTCGGGGGAGCCTGCTAGGGCCGGTAAGGGGACTCTGCGGGAGCGAACCAGTCTGATTGGAGTGGCCGAGGAGGGTAACAAGACACTGATTGAAACAACGAAGGAAGAGGAGCAGAAGTAGATGCTCAGCTGGCCGCTGGAGTAGTTGTAGGTGCACTCGATCGGCCACCTCTGTAAATTCGGGGCATTCTAGAGTCATACGCGAAAGGCATATTGGAATAAGAGCTGTTTGTTCATGTCTCCCAATTATTATGGCATATATTTAGTCGATTTCAAATCGCGACTGTTCACCATTAAACCCCCAATCGGGAACAGACCTGACCCTCATGCGCGAAGCTAGCCATTTCTATAGTGACAAGACCAAGCCCATCGTAGACACCAAAACGCCTACCATTCCAAGGCCGATCCTTAGCATGAAGCCCGAGCTGGTTGCCGACGTGGACTGCGGTACCGACCCGGAACTAGTTCCAGCCTGAGTAAGCGTTGCCGAGCTGGTAATAGTGCCTTCCCCAGCGCTGGTAGTAGCACGTCCGCTGCTCGATCCCGTCGTAGTCTCCGCCGTATACGGATTAGTCGTCGAGGCGCTCTACATGCTCCCGGTCAGACACAGCGCCGGCGGCTCAGCCACGTTTTAATTACAATCGGCAAACTCACAAAAAGCTCGCAGCAGTCCTCGCCGAAGCACACGGAGCCGTCGGTGCAGCACGACTCCTTCGAGGGGTTGTAGCACTTCTGGGCCGGGAACTCCCCCGAACACCAGTGCACGGCGCTGCCGCCGCGCTGGCAGCACTCCTCGCCCGAGTCGTCCTTGGTGCACGTCCACCCCGACACAGTCGGCGGAGGCGCCGTTGCGGACGCCGTCACGTCGGGGACGCCGCTGGTACCCGTCGCACCGGGGCCGCCCTAATTCACGCAACGTCAGATACGGAAACGCGGAAGTTTAGTTCGGATCCGCGGTGTGATTGCGGGGGGGGGGGGGGGGGGGGGGGGACGGAAAAACCAACCGTGTTTACAACCCGGGGGGTAACCCGCCCCACCCCCAAAAAGCCGAACCAAAAAACGGGGTGGGAAAAAAAGCACCCAC